GGGTCAGCTCACGCCGGACTCCAGTTCCGGCAGCATGTCGCCGCCCATCAATGTGACCACACCGCCACTCTCCAGCGGCGAGACGAGCAATCCCGCCTGGCCCAGGTCCTCGGCTACGCAGTACCCGGCCGGCAGCTTCCACCACCAGCTGGGAGTGGCTCCGCCGCACGATTATCCCAGTGGCTCCGCCTTCCTGCAGCTCCAGCCGCAGCAGCCGCATCCGCAGAACCCGCAGCACCACCAGCAGCAGCAGCGGCTCTCGGAGACGTTCATAGCCAAGGTGTTTTGACAGCGATACTATGCGGAAAGCTTGAACAGCTCCACGGGGTCGACCTCGACGACCAGCTCCACGGTGACCACCACCACCACGGCCATATCCTCGATGGCCAGCTCCAGGAGCGACCTGCTGATCGACTGACTGCAGTTTGTGGCGGCGGCGGCCGCTGCTAGCAACTCCAATTCCGGGCAGGACACCGGCCAGTCCCCATCCCCGGAGCTCGGATGCACGGCTCTGGGCAGTGCGGTCCGCGCGCTGAACGGACTCTTCTAGGCAGCTGGTCCTGCCCACCTCCACCTCCACCCACCCCGAAGACCTCAGCAGCCACCAAATGGTTTCAACTTGTGCAATATCCCACTCAGCAGATCATGATGATGAGTCCACATCTCCAGCAGCATTTTGTACATAGCGCATCCCTAAGATGTCCCACAGAACACTCTACTTAAGCAGCTCTCTCGATGTATAGATGTAGTTAAAGGATTTACCTAGTTAGTCGCCAATGCCGAAAGTCCTGAGTTCTGTGTAGATCGGCTACACGGATACTCCAGGGCTCGTTTCGATATAGGAAATGGTGTTTTTAACATTGCGTTAGAGCTTTTTGGGGTCTGTCAACCGAATACATAGATGGAAATGTATCTTAGAGTTGCACTAGATATCCGTACTGTACTGTAGCCCTAAGTGTCTGTGTAACCCAACGCAAATTAATGGAAAATCGAGAACATTTTAACGAAGATCCTTGAATGCATTGTATTTGTTTAGGTCTTAAGTGATATTATTGATACTGTTTAAGCAATAAATCAATTCTTCAATTATTAAACGGAAATGCTGTTTACGTTGGAAAAGCGGGAGCTGTGGCTTTAAGATCCCGATATTATCCCCAGATGAACATATGCAAATAACTGAGCAGCGGTGTGGGCAGCCATTGAGTTGAGTGGAGGGATCATAAAAGATGCAAATGGATGCGAAATGAAAACAATTATTGCTGCATTACTCGGGCCCAAGAGTCGCGTTTAATGGGCTCTAAACTGTCGCCACGTCTGCCGCATGACATTTGCAACTTAATTAGTGGCGACCAGCCCCCACTTTTCCAGCTTCCGCCCGGGAAAACTCCGCAGGTGGCAGGCCCAGCCACACGCCTCAATCATTTGCATAGCACTTTGATCTGCGGCTCGAGAAAAGCCCAGGAATCCCGAGTGGAAATGGCTCTGGAGCAGGAAGGTTGATGTGCTTGAGTCCGCTCATAAAAATGCAACAGAAGCATCCTTATTAGTCAGGCAGCTCAATTAATAAGGCAAGTCAGAAGTATGTGAAAAATATACAAACATACAGGTCCATATCCTTGGTTATTACAAAACAATATTCAAGTACTCAATATGAATAACTTCACTTGACAAGTTCAAATATTTACGTTTATTTGGGCGGGCTATTGTAATCCTGCTGTCTTGGGTTTGGTGACATCGGACTATTGTGAAGCTTTAAAACGCCAGCCAGGAGTGATGCATGTGATGTCCACTTCAGTTGACATCCTTCCCCTTTTCCCTGGCCAAATCGCATGAATAATTCAGAGCGCATTGAATATCCGAATGGGAACGAAAAGCGAAATCGAGCGGTGCGATGCGATGCGAGGCGATGCGTTGCTTTTTTATGCAAATAATCAAAGACGACTGACGTACAGTGGGCCCTCAGCATATGCTCAAGCACACCGCCCACTGATTCCACTCGCATCGGTTGACAGTTCAGTCCGGAGAGAGGAAGCCCTCTGGTTGTGCCCAATTTTCGATGATGATGACTTCTGACACCGCCTCGGCACGGCGTTCTTTTGAACCAAATCGGTTTCCTCGATTCCTATCGCCGTCGAAGGCCAACCCCCAATTGTGGAATGAATGTGAATGGTCCTTCAGCCGTTGTCATGTTGGCCGCTCCCCCAGTCGATTCCTTTTGATGTTTGCCTTATGCACGCCCAGTCGGCCATTCGAGTGTCCATCTGCCTAGCCATCTGTGCGCAGTGCCCCCAATCCTAACCCAAACCCACAGTATTCCCCATTCAATCCCACTGACACAAACCGACTTATTTGGCTAATTGAACGCGGTTGGTCGTCGGCAGCACTTCATGCAGATCTGGCCCGGATAACTCCGCTCTTTTCCACTTCTCGGCCCGCTTATGCATGACACCTTGGCACTCCGGACAATCAGATTTGGTCACCCGGCCGGATGACATTAATTAAGCTAATTAATACCTATTGATCCTTGGGCAGTGCCAAAGTTTTTATTTCCGCCCGAAGGACGCAGAAGTGCCAAGATTCTTGGGCACTCCCTTGTATATTAAAAGTAGTAAGACATCTTATCAAATTTGCTTATTTCTAGCAGATAAAAATCTAGCAGATAAAAAATTGCAATTGTTTTAGTTACCTCGGGATATAGGAATTGATTGCGAAAGTACCTGAATAGTTACATTGAGTGAGTAGCCGCAGTGATTTCATAAGAAATTATTAATATAGAAACCTATGAAAACACAGATTTTATCACGAATTTATAGTTTCTGATGCACTGATTTTATCACGAGCTTATAGTTGCTCCCACTCGAAGAGCGCTTTCCCCTCCCTAAAAATAATTTAATAACTTCCGCCATATTGGTGGCCCCGAAATTGTTTACCCGCCGTAAACAATTTCCGCGGGCGCCAAAATAAGCATAATATTTTCCGCCTTTGTTTCCAGCATATCAATAACTCTTATCGGCGGTTTGGGGGCCGTGGCACGCCCACCGATTGTGCCACAACAACTCGAGCACGCAACAGGGGCAAAGTGCGGAAAGTGCGGAAAATGCGAGCACTCGAGCCTCTCGCTGCGCACAATAAAAAATTATAATCCAATTCCATTGTCCGTCGCCGGGGGGTGGGAGGTGGGAAAATACGGCAGACAACGACTGCGCTTATCGCCCGAAATGGGGCAGAACAATAAGGACACGGATGAGGATGGATGGATGGATGGATGGATGATGCACCGAGGCGGGGATGTAAGTCGAGCGTGAACTGCAGCGTAATCTCTTCCGGATATGATTGCGCCACCAAGTGCGAGGGATTGTCTGCCACCGGTGCTGTGACCTATCAGCTTTGTGTGCCGGCATCTTTGTGTCCCTTGTATCTTGTAGCTTGTATCCTGGCATCACTCGGCTCAGCTGAGTTCAGCCCAGCGCAATCTGCTGTGATTACAATTTCTTAAAAAGCTAAAGCTGCATTTTCCTTTCAATTACGAACGCCCTCGGCGGCTCCTAATGGCCACATAAGTGTATCTCCTGTGCCAACAATGTGCTGGCTGCTGGCTAAAAAAAAGGAGAACAAAACAACACTTAACCCACGTTAATTGTCGACTCTCTGAACTATGACATGATCCCCTGCCACTCCTCCACATCGAAAGTGTCCCATGTCAATGGCTGGCTGCCATTAGAAAAGAGGAAGCCACGGGGCGCTCAAGATGCGAGCGTTACAGAATTCCATTTGAGTACTTATAGTTTGGTCTTCTACACTGGCAGAAAGTTCCTGCCCCACTAGCCACTGCAATCAAACTTTAATTGACAGCGCAAGCTCTTGGTCAACGAAACTCTTGTCGATGCAAAGTGGTTGGAAAATGCTGTGTAGCTTTGAAATGCCTCCTAATAACTCATAATCAGCCGGATTAAAACATTGTAGGCATTTTTCATGGATCAGCGACTTTATCTGAGCTTTGCAGCTTAGTTCTGACCCTGCGATCCTTTCCCGCGGAAGAGCAGCTGACTTGGAGCACATTCTGGCTGGGGTGACATAAGGTTGCCTCGAGCTCGCTTTTCCGGGCAGCAGTTGCTCGACTTCCCAGCGAGGAGCGAGATGCGAGAGGCGAGAGGCCGGAAAACGATGACAATATGTGAGGGGATCGGCGCGCTGCTTGGCAACACATTGAAATGCATTCGAGTCGACGTAACACGGCTCAATTAGTGCGGTTCAGCGACTGCCAATGCAGCTTCTCCTGTCCTCCAGTGCTCCGCATCCGCATCAGCATCCACATCCTCGTCCTGCCCGAGTCCTTGCGATTCCATTGCTCCAGCCATTGTCCGCCTGTTCGCCTGCTCGCCTGGCTTTATGTCAACTTCTTGCACGCTTATTCACACCTGAGCACAAAACCGCACCGCGGGATTTTGCTGCCTGAGGAGTCACGAATGCGCCGCCAGCTTCCCAGTTTTCCACGCCGCATTTTCACATTTTCACATTTCCACGTTTCCACATTGGCGGGCAGCGAGGCGTCGCTCATTACGTGAAAAGCTGCTGCCACATTCCATTAATTAGTCCTCCTTAGTGTGGTCTGCTTCGCCGCCTTTTGACTTAGGAAAGGGTGGTCAGAATCTGGTATCGCATTCAGGCTAAAACAAGAGAGAGTGGGCGTGGCAACATCAGTAAGCAAACTAAAATCAACTTTCTAGCTTTTATAGTTCCTGAGATCTCGAAGTTCATATGGGCAGACAGATCACTAATATTTGTATATACCTTATACCTATGCTACATACTTTTCAACGAATTTAGTATGCCCTTTCCCTCTACGAGTAACGTTTATAACAAATTATACATATGTGACCATGAATGTTCTAGCTTAAGTTCAGAGTTTTTCAAATTTCTCGGCGTATCTGCTGTCAAAACACGTAAATAGAGTTCGTAACATTGAATATCCGGAATTTCGATAGCTTAAATAGACCAAAATGCCGTGTTTTTCAACGGACCGGCGCGAGCCCATGTATTTCGAGGACGTGCGTAGCCGTCGGGTCTTCATCAGTAGGGTTTTAATGATAGTGGCCGTGAGTACGCAGTACATGGGAGCTGAATGGGTTTGCTTCCATTAATACGAGTGTGCATTGCAGATAAACTTGATCGTAACCACGCTGATAATGACATACTGCATCTTCCATATGGGAGCGAGGAAGTTCTTACAGAAGCACTGGTACATTGGGTTAGTCGGACTGCTTGTTATAACTATGATTTCCATTTTGATGTGCTGCTGCAGTTTCCTGTTTCGCACCCCGTGCAAATACATATTGTTGGTAATATATGTATTGGCCCATGCCGCAGTGGTGTGCTGTGCAGCGGTTAAATATCATCCGAGACTGGTAGGTGGCTGGATATTTGTGAAGTACAATCTGTAAGATACGATACCACGGCGATTTTTAGATTTTTATAGCCGTGGGCAGTTGTGCCGGCATTGTGGTGTTGCTGTGTCTGTTCGCCAGATTTGCTCCTTGCGATTTCACCGGATGCTGGATCTTTGTTTTCGTGTTTTCCCTAGTAGTTATGATCATGGGAATCGTGACCATTTTCATCCCAAGCGTACGCATAGCGTATGTATCGCTTGGAGTACTCCTGTTCTGCTTGTATGTGGTGATTGATATCCAACTGATACTTGGCGGCACAAGCCACCAAAGCGAGTTCGACGAGGATGATTATGTAATAGCTGCCATGACACTATACAGCGACTTTGTATTCCTCTTTATATTTATACTGGACCTCATTGGTTTGTTAGATGACTAAGAATAAATATGCTTTTGAACCGCCTAATACCATTTCTTATTTTGGACTCACATGCTGGATCTTGGATCTTCGGATGGAGGCGACTCCTTTTAAATACTTATTTAGTATATAAACATGCCTATAACAGACCGTGTTATCTGAGTCCTTTGTTAAGACCAAGTGAAAATTTGACACATTTGTTGGCGAAAATCCAGGAGGTGTCACTGTTGATACTGCTGTGCTTAGAAAAGAGCCAGTTCACAATTGTATTATTTCAAAGAGTGCCCTGTTTCCATTGCCAATTTTGAATTGAATCAGACGAGGCCTAAAATCAACTTTCTGAAACATGAAGGAGTGCGAAGTGCAGAATTTCATAGATGGCTTGTCCCAGACATTTATGAAGCACAAAATGATGCGTAACTGCCAAATGGTCGAGATCCTGAACAAAGTGCGCTCCTGCGATTGCAAGCACAAACGAAGGCTAAACAACTGGCGAATGGTCAAGTCCGTCTGCAGGCAATCCGCATCCCGGGGCTGGATACGCTTTCTTATCGCCGCCTGCTTTGCATTGCTCCTGCTCATGTCCATCTACATGGTCCATGTGGCTAGAAGGTACAACCATGTGCGTGCCTACGGCAGCAGCGCCTGCGGCTCCACTTTGTTCTACAGCTACACGGACTGCGATGTGTTTTACTAGCCTGCGCTCACCTATATTTTTACCCAATTTTCCAATATATATAATGGTATGGTAGGTGCTTTCACTTCCAGCAAATGTTGCATAAACTAACATGTTTGTAGAGTAAAACCATCATGCTAACTCCAAAATGACGCCGAATCAATACACATTTTTCCCACTGCTCACTTCATTTTTGTATTTATTTTACCATGGTCCGAGATACACATTCGGGCGTTGATGGGTCCTGGGAAAGTTGGGTGGCCCAGGGCAGGGGCGTGTCTGGCATTATTGGGAACATTCGTGCTCAACCTTTCAACCTTTCACCCGCTTTATGATTGGACGCTGCCGTAAATTATGCATAAAGCATAAGGCCAGAAAGAGACCGAGCGACGGGAGCGAGAGGGAGGGAAGGAGTGCTGGCTTTCGGGGTGAGTCCATCATCGAACGTGCCATTCAGTTTTATTGGGTTATCGAGTGGGACAGGACCTTCCAGCCAGCCCCACCACCCCCCTTCCCCGTCCATGGAAGTGCCCGCTTGTTGGCCTAGCTCAATATTGACACACGTTAATTGAAGCCCGCCGGCTGCCAAAAGTATCAATGGCCATCCCTTAGCCGTGGGTCAGCGCCGAACTGAACAACCATTGCCTGCTCACATGGCGCTGAAGGGGAGGGGGGAGAGGTGGGTTTCCGGGTGGGCGGAACTCTGGGGTGGACCTTGGTGGAGTCCCAAGGGTAAAAACTCATGAATGCAACCATGTAAAGGGTAGGGTACAAATTTATTGTATACCCGTGCCTAGTGCCCCAAAGAATATGTCGTTAATTTGGGGATAACTTTAAAGAAAGTTCACCCTCATGCTGGACTTTTGGGCTGGTGGGGTGGCCCAACCGATTGTGCCCCACATGTCGCCCGATTACGTCACCTGCTGCGCGGTCATCTCTTTGCAGGCTGTAATAAACACTGATTGCCAGGGTAACTTTAAACGCTTCCTAATTGACTCATACACGGGGTTAGCCGAACTTTACCTTTGTTCAGTAAACGTTGAATTATGTTTTATTACATGGCTTTCAATATTTCTTAGGCGTAACAATACACAATTCCTGCAGTTAGTCGTTTTAGTCGCTTGTAGATGAGTATATTATTTGGTTCTGAATGATGCCCATCCCATCTATAAATCTAGTGAGTAAGCTATCGGCAATCCTGCTGCCATATGACGTTTGCATATGTGCAGGATCTTTGAGGGATTAGATGTCCTAGACCCCAAAATCTTCGCCGCCAAATCGAGAAGAGTTCAGGCCATAAGTTCAAGGGGTCTCGGGGGTTTAGTCGTTAAGAGAATGGGCCTCGCGATTTTTGGTTAAAAGAAATCAGTAGTAAAAATAAGAAACAGTTAAATGTTTTCAAAAATTATGCATTATGTATTATTTTCGCTTTGAATTAGTTGTTTTTTTAGTTTAGTTCGGAGTTTAGATAGCATAATTAACGTAAGTGTGGGTTTTTCCTATTTGAAGTTAAATTTAATACATTTTGTTTAGTTGTAAATTATTGTAATGTAAATTTTAGGACTAATTCAAGTTCATATCTAGGTATATATGTATATTTATAGGTAGTGTTATAATTGTTGTAAATACAATCGAATAATTAACTAATACAGAATAATTACAGAACAAATTGATTGGAAATTGATTTTTCGCTCTGATCAAAAGTCTGAATATCTTTGATTCTTCTCATAAGCAATTCCCAGATAATCATTTGTGGCATGTCTAGATGCATATAAATATAATGTGAGTAGGCATACATAGTATATGGGTATAAATTGAAATTTTGGAATATTCAAATTTGACACACATTTCTCGTACTTTTGTCTTTTTCATTTGGAGTGATTCACAAACAGAACGTCAACAAAAAAGAGCAAATAAATCATACAGAAAGAAGGCATAGACTAAGCGCACTTTGTAACATTTCGCTCGACTCCTCCGGTCCGGTCCGGTCATTCCGTATCATTCCGCCTTAAACTCAAATAACACTTAACACGTACATAAACTGCTTATTAAACTTAACATTTACAGAATTTAATTCAAGCTAAACGCAATCGGTTGCCGTATAAATTATTGTTAAAAGAAATGCACACGCGCACAAAAACGAAACATATAACTTAGCGGCTACGCAACTTGAACTAATTACTAAGAAAATAAATTTACATCAACTGTGAATGTTTATTAATTACAAATTAGTGGTTGCTTGCTTGATTTCCTTGCCATTCGCCTGTGTGTGTGGTTTCAGTTAAATAAATAGTTGTTGGTTAGTCCTCCCCGCAGATCCTCTGCCCTCGTTTAGTCATTTAGTCTATCCTAAGCTCTACACACTAGGAGTTATTCTCACAGTCATCGGGTTTGTGCTTCGTGCGTAAATTGCTCAAAAGATCGGCACAGTTGTTGACCATCATCAGATAGTCTCCGTTGTCAGCGTTCAGCTGATCGTGGTTCAATCCCCCACTACCACCCACTCCTAATCCTCCGCCCATTCCGCCTCCGTTGTTCGTCTTCTCCGCTTGTCTGCAAAAAAGATGCAATATTGGTCAGTACTCTGGACAGGAGGACAGGAGCATTGCATGAGCATACAGTTCTTTATTTGAAAACCGTAGACTCATACTAAACTATCAATCCTACCGATTGGTGATGCTGCTTAGCATATTCCTGGACATGATGAGGGCGTTCTCCAGTTCCTTCAGCAGCAGTGAATTCTTCAGATTCGCATGCAGCTGCATAGCTGCCTGTGTGGTTGTATAAAGTTTATTGATCACATTGTGTACTTGGGCTTCCGCTGCAAGGAAATTCACTTTAAGTAAAGATATGATGCACATTTTTATAAATAGTTTCTTACGATCTGTGCCCTCGTAATCCTCCGTGGAAGTCACACCGCTCCGCTGTTTGGCATTTCCGCCGGGGCCGCCACTATTGTTTATCATCAGCTTGCTCTTGTGATCGAAGGCCAGGTTTCTAGGTCTTGGTGGCACAATGGGCTTGTTGTTGACAGTGCTATTGGGCGTCTCCTCGGAGCTGGAGTCGTCCTGCATGGGCGTGGCTAATGGGGGCGTAACATAATTAGTTCAGATCGAAGGAGGACGAAACTAGCACACTCACCACTGCTAAAGTTTGGCGCCTTTCGCCGATTGTTGTTGACATTGTTAGTCTTGTTGCTGTACTGGCGATTCGCAGCTGTATATGGGTTAGATTAGTTAGTTGAATTATTTTATATTTAAAATAATATGTTCACTCACCAATGGGTCCATTACTGCGTCCCTGTCCGTTGCTGGCACTCCGCAAGCGGTTGCTGTCCTCGGGTTCCGAGTCGCTCTACATAGAAATGAAAAGGGAATATTAAATTTCAGAATGCAAAACGAGTTGGTTGCTGAATACTTACACCCTGATTGAGTACGTTCATTGAGTTGCTGGAGGCACCCAGTCCAGTTTTGCCCTGCAAACTGTTCCTTTTGCTGGCCGATCGCGAGACGTTTCCATTTCGGTGCTGGACCTGCGGCTTCTGTGGAGTGCCATTCTGCGATTTTCCAGCTGCAAAGTCAGTCCAAAAATTAACAATTAGAACTTATGATTTTTACCAGGGTTATAGGACCGAGGGTGCTTACGCTTGCCAAAGTTGCCCATGTGCAGGTCGCTCAGCGAGCAGGCGCGGCGTATGGAGGACTCCTCGATGGGCATGGGATTGAGCGTTTTGGGATTGCCTGAAATGTGGGTCAGAGATTAGTTTCGGCTCGGGTCATGCGGTTATAGTAATTTGTGTGCTAGGATATCGAGAAATGGAGGGTGGTGGTCAATAAGGGGAAATAAAAACTAGTAAATAACTGTGGGTGCGCAAATGAAGGTGGCGGAAAACTCAAGAGGCACAACAACCAAGGCGGAAATGGGGCTCAAACCTGGCTCCATCCTCAAAACAACAGTCTGTCTGATGGCATCGTGATCAGCGCTAGCTGCAGTGATCTCGGTGTTTTCCGGATCTCCGCTCTCGTCGTCGGCTATCACTTCCTTGGCCAACTCCACGCCCTGGCTGTTGTAGATGCCAGTGAAATCGGTGCTCTCGAGGACATCTGGTAAGCTGCAGTTTCTGCGTATATTCCTCGCATAGGCGCACAGATCCGAGGCATCTTTGGATGCCAGATCCTCATCTTCTGTGGGATCTTCGCCTCTGGCCAGCATGTCAAAGTTCATGGTCAAACTTTTCACATAGCCCTTCTCCTTGGCATTGCAGTTGAAGGGCCTCAATCGTGATTCGGTGGCCAAGCGTATTTGCTCCATTTTGTTCTCCTCCATGGCGATTAACTTCTCGATGATGTCGATCTTTTTGGCTATATTCTGGCACTGATGGCTGGTGGAGCTGCCTGCTCCTTTTGCTTTTGCTTTTCCCTTTCCACTTCCTCCCTTTCCGCTGATCTTCCCAGCGTTGTCAAGGTTTTTCCGATACTTCTCCCGCTCCTGTTGTATCTCATCCACCACTGCTTGGAGTTGGGGCTTGGTGTACAGTTTGAGAGACTGCATATTTTCCAGATTTTCCGGGGCATTTCCGTTCTCCGCGAAATACATTTCGAAACTGCGCTCTCCATAATCGCTGGGCAGGCTGCCCACTTCCATTTCCGGCGGCTCCTCCTCTCTGGCCTGTCTTTCCCTCTTGGCACTGGGCGTATACTTGATCTGCGAGACTGTATTGAAGCGCACAGAGATCTTTGGCCTATTTTTCTGCCTCACACTGGTGGCCCTTCGACTGCTTTCGCTGGTATCAAAGCGGGAGACTTTCTTCAGACAACTCTGGGTCGCTGATCCTCCAGCCAGAGCTCCAGAACTTACTGAGCTTCGCATCGCCGGCCTCCGTTGCTGTTCCCGCTCCCTTTGCTTTTCCTTTTCAAATTTCTGTAAGTTATGCTCGAATTGCTGGACAACACTGGCGGTTCTCGACTGGGATTTCTGTTTTTGCTGCTTCTCCATGTGGGTCAAGGTGCTGACTAGATTGTGAGGTTTCGCCGGCACCGGCGGCTTGGGTTTCAATGGTTTCCTCACAAAGAGATTGTCTCCTGATTGCATGGGATTCGAATTCCTTTGCTGTCGCTGTTGGGCGAAGTCCGTACTTAAGGACTTGTTAACACCTGAGGTATATTGCTTATTCTTGGATCGCAGAGTGGGTATATTTTCAGAGACCTGAACCTGGGCTATCCTGGGATATGTCTTAGAACTGGGCAGTGGTTTCAGTGGCTCCAGATTGTAGCCCGTGACATCGAAGCTATCCGTTGTTGTGGAATGCTGTTGTCGCATATAGTAGTCGAAGCTGCCATAGGCATTGGGGCTGTTCCCGTACGACTTGGAAACCGGACCGTGGATAATAAAGTTGCGGATGCCGGCATGGCGCTGTTGAAGAACAGCCACCTGAGTTTGTGGATACTCCAGGGGAGCACTCTGGCAATCACTTTCGTCCGACAGTACGCTCTCCAAGCTGTTGCAATAGCTTCCAGGACCATCGCCATCGGAAAGCAGAGACAGTGACTCCTGACTCTGCTGGCCGGTGAGGAAGAAACTGGCACTGGAATGGCGCTGGGTCTCCAGAAATCTGGCCTCGTCCAGTCTCCTCTGACTGGCTGCAAATTGCTCGGGCTGCAGAATATCGGAGAGGGACACTTTTCTCTCGCACTGGTAAAACTCCCTGTAAACATAATACTGTGTAGTTCGGCCAGTGGGCGTGGAATCGCCAGTGGAACCCAGTCCTCCCAAGTTCCTCAGATTCGCTGGCATGGAGTACGAGGCTGGGATACTGGGCTCATCCAAATCGCCGTATTTCCGGGTGATCTCATCAATCATCTTTTCCGTATCAGCATGGATCATATCCAGAATGGTTCTAGCATCATCAGCATAAACAGAGTGTCTTTTAGGTTCGCCGAGCAGAGCACCTCTCTCGTTTCCCTCCGCAGACCATTCCACCTCTTCGTGGACTGGAGACACTGGACAAGATTTGTAGTGCTTCAGGATGCTCGGCGTACGCCTGTTATTCCCAGCTGGATTCCTCTTCGCCCTTTGTTGTTGCTGCTGCTGCTGCTGTTGACGGTGCTGCGGCTGGGAATGCGAACGCATTCCAGATGAGGAACCCGCTGCAGATCCTCCAAATGGTACACCTGGAGGCGGATGGATCTGATGCACGCCCACGTGATGTGGATAGGGCGGATAGTGCTGCTGAACCTGTCGCATCGTCTGGAAGTTCTGCTGCAACTTCGATTTCGGGGCAGCACAGTTGAAGAATTGCTGGGAGGCGGGAGGCGCATATTGCTGATGTGGCTCCTTCGGAATTTGGTATTGCTGCTGCACTGGTGGCTGGAGCTGCTGCTGGGTGTTCGTGGGTGCAGCAGTAGCTGTTGCGTTTTGAGGACTAGTATACTGCGAAGTGTCATGGGAGGCAACTAATGGGGTTAGTCAAAGTATCGTTAAGGGGGCAAATTGATCACAAATGGTAACCATTTGTAATACATTAGTTTTACCGCAGATGTCACAAATAGGAGAGCAATATTTAAAGAGAGATAGACAACACAGAGAGAGAGAGCAAACAACGGGAGAAAGAGTTTTTGGTTATATTAGCCTACTGTTCAACTTGGAGGGGATATTCATTTGGTTTACAGCTGTCTGGGCTCCCTATTTCCCCAACCCCTTACCTGGCTTCGTGTAACGTCCTGGTCCTCCGCCTGCATTCCTCGATCCATCCAAGTTGGCTGCCAGACTCAGGTCCGATATGCTATGGCTTCCCCGGAGGGGTCTATGGCCTACCTGTGGGTCAAACAATGTTAGATGAATAAGCGAACGTAACCGGAAATGTAAGTTAGCAAAACACCCAGCCTAGACTGTCAATATATTAGTTGAAGAACATCAACACACAAACATTAGTAACCGCAAAATTATATGGTATTGTTGTTAGGCGTTTGTTGTTGGAGTGAAGTTTTGGGATTGAGTCAGTAAATGGTGAGTGGTTTTCCGGTTCCTCAACTTGCTCGAGTGCTGCGATATGGAGTGGAAGGCTGAGGGGATCGCTGATCTGCAGCTCACTCCACTCATGAGACCGAGCAAGTTTTTCATGATCGCTAGCTTAGGCTATTTTTAGAAACAGCTTAGTGTGATGGGAATTTGGTTTTCCTGGAGTCACGAAGCATCGGTGGTTCAGTGGTAGAATGCTCGCCTGCCACGCGGGCGGCCCGGGTTCGATTCCCGGCCGATGCAACGAACTTTTTTGGTTTTTAATTTTTAGTATTTAAGAAATTAGTTAAATTTAGAGCGAATTCGGATTGTATTGGTTTTAGAGGGTAAATATTTTTACTTGTAAGCGTGATTGAATTTATTTACTATATGCTGTACTGTTTGCAATGTAGTGCGTTAGGTCATTCTCCCGTATGTTTAAAAGCATTGTCAAAATGTAACTGCCTAAAGCATCGTTAGGTAAGCAAAAGGTCTTTAGATTCCAACATAAATCGGCTCACCTCCGCTATAGCATTCAACCTTGTGTTGCCATTTTTGCGCGTACCCTAAACACACAAATTCGGTCAGGGAATTAATATTTTTTGGTTTTTTTTTTGGGTGCATGTGTTTTTTGGGTGGGAGGTTGGAGGTTGGAGATTGGAGGACGGACCAGACACCAAAAACAAATAAGGGACACATATAAAAATACAGAAGAACAACAAAAGAAAAACACAAATTAAATGGGCAAATAAAAGTGCTCGGAAAATGGAAAACCGACGAAGCAGTAAAGTACACTGAGAGAAAGGTCACTCCTGAGCCCCAGCACTTACATTCTCCAGTTGCTGCTTGACCTTGTTGATGACCTGCAGCAGCTCCTCCTTTTTGGTGCTCGTATACGACTTGGTGATGGTGGGCGGGGCCGCCACGCCCTTCCCATTCTCCGTATTGTGCTTGGCGCTGATGCTGCGGCGACCTGAAAGATGAAGGTATATGCAATTAAAGCCATAAAGAGGATTTCGACAAGATGAAATAATATCTTACTGCTGCCACCCCTTTCCATGGGCGTTGCTAGTCCCGGTCCCTCTGGCAAGGCGGCGTGCAGGAAGCTGTTGCTGCTGCTCTGGGGCAGATTTTCCGAGCTGCCGCCCAACGTGGAGGCCAGCGACCGCTCGGCATTTTCGGCACTGGGCGTGGAGCCTTCGTCTTCGGTATCGGAGGTCCCAGTTCCGGTGCTCGCCGTATGCGAACTTCCATTTCCGCTGAGGGCCGAGGGGGTAAGCTGAAGGCCGGACTTTTCAAACTTCTGACGGCGCACCGATTTGCGCAGCTCATCCTCGTTCATGGCCGTGACCTTGAAATCTCTGCAGGGAAATAAGCATTCGTTTACTTTATTTGCTACTGTAACTAAATTGGGTGTACTAACGTTGGTGTGCTGGGCGCGAGATTGTTGTAGAACATTCCGTGATCGGAGCTAGTTCTCTCTCCATCGGAGATGTCCTCCACATCCCCATCGTGATCATGGGTGTGGGTATCAAACCGCAGACCCGGCTTCAACCGTTTATCCGGCAACTGGAGACGCTGTTGAGCAGCTCCAGAACCCGTCGACATGGCACCGTTGGAGGCAGAAACAGCCATCGAGGAAACGGAGGACACAGTGACCACCGTTCCGTTGTTGCTGCTGCCAATGAACTTGAGTTCGCCCCTTCGCGTCTCCATCCCAGAATCGATGGAGGAGTCCTCGCTCAAGTAGGTTTGATTGTACGTAATGTCCTTGGAAGAGGCACTATTGTAATCAGAGGTCTGGACATTCACACCACTGTGACCACCTACAGATGAAACGGTTCCCAAGGGACTTTCGGAGTTGGAGCGCAGGTCATCGGCCGTTTCCAATTGAGTGCTCCTCTGGGCCCATCTTCCCCTTGCCCGGGGTGCCAGTCCTGGCATCTGTTGACTGGGCGATGAGCTCAGATTTCCCATCGATGAAGCAGCATGCATGCCAGGCACAGTTGCAGATCCACCACTGGGCGTGGGTATGGACAAGGCACCACTATCCGAATCCGCTGCTGCTTTTCGCATCGCCCACTGAGGCAGTTGACCCACATCGGAGAACCTTTCAGCCACTCCAAACTTGGGCTGCAATTGCGGCTGCTCTATTTCACTGGTGGGCGATTCCAGGACAATACCATCCGGTGGCGAAATTGGAGCCAAGGGGCGTGGCAACGGAGCATGCCCGGATCTGAGACGCTGTTGCGACATCCTGGCCTGCATGGTCACTATCATATCGTGCGGCACTTGCCATATGAAAATACAACCGTCGCCACTTGCGGATATTAAATGTCTGCAATCGTTGGTGAACTTCAGTCCCGTGACCAACTCGCTGTGACCATACATCCTTGCCATGCACTCGCTCGAGTAGTAATCATAAACAGCAAGCGTTTTATCCGTGCAGGAAGTGGCCACATAGATGCCACTGGGATCCAGACTGAGTTTAATCAGACTCCCTTCGTCTGAATGGGAGCCCTTGAAGGTCTTTGTTTGCTTGGCATTCTGGGTTCCGTAAACCCGCACGTTGCGATCCTGGCAGGCGGTCAAAATGTGCTTGGCATTCGAGTCCACCTCCATGTCGTACAACGTCGTCTTTCCTGAGGTGTTGGTGCCTCTCATGAAGATACTTCCCTGTAAAAGAAGGAGGTTAGATCACCTAGGTCATAGACAGCAATACAAGACTCACCTGAAAACTCCTAAACATAATGGACTTGTCGGCGCCACAACTGATCATCTGGAAGTTGAGTCCTGCACCCACAAACTTGATGGAGGTGATGGAGGAGCTGTGATCATCCAGCGTTTGTAGCAGTAGGTAGTTCTGTGCCACGTCGAACACATGGATCAGTCGATCCCTACTGGCACTGGCTAACAACTTTCGCTCGATCTTCTCGTTTGAATACTCCAAGCACAACACCTCAGACTCATGGGCTTCGATGGTAGTGAGCAGGCGCAAATTGACCAGACTGTACACACGTATGTTGCCGCACCGATCTCCACTGGCCAAGTGCTGCAGTTCCGGACTGATCTTGATGCACCGCACTCCATTCCTTCCATCGTAGGAGGAGTTTCCAGCTTTATCGAACAGAGACGAACCCTGATCCTTGATAAACTGCAGTTCCTCGTCGCTGTAGACGATCTTCAGCAGCTCCTTGGAGTAGATGTTCCTTCGGTAGATGTCGTTGTTGGTGCATCCATCCAATCCCCAGACACGGATCGTGTCGTCCGAGGAGCAGGTGACGAAGCATTCCTCTGGGAGGGTCTGCGACGGATCCCGCTCCACGTTATATGGCACTGTCTCCACGCCCCAGATGCAAGTGGAGTGATAAAGGAACGAGTGCGACTTGCCCACTCGTGAGATGTCGCGCAGATCCCAGATGTAAAGAGAGTGATCGTTGTAGACGCAGCTCACCTGAAAAAAACATTCGGAATGAGTATTTAATTATTTCCCAACTATTTGAAAGACCCTACCTTGGAACGCTGTTCGTCGAACACCATGGCAATGCAGTCGGGGAACTTGGCCTGCTGTGGCACCGACATGATGTGGTTGATCTGGATGCCCTGGGCCACATCCACGCCCAAGTAATGAGTTCTGGGCAGAGTGGTCACGTATTCCAGCGTGGCCGCATTGAAGATGCGTATGATGGACTCCGCACAGCCCACGAGGATGAATCTCTCATTCACGCAGATACAGTTGGCATTGGAGGTGCGGCACTGCACCCACTTGTCCAGCAGACGGCGGGAGCTGAACTCCACCAAGTGTCCTTGCCGCGTAATGGCGTACGTGCTCTCCGCACAGATCCCCTTGCCACATGCCACCGCACAGAAGTCGTTGTCCCGCAAGTCGCCCAGAATGGCGCTCCGACCCATCAGGGGAATAGGATCCTTGTACTGCAAAGGACGTAAATCATTAGCTTCTGACCTTCAGCATAAAGTGGGTTATTAAATATTCAATTCAGCAAAGCACATTAAATTGCATAGCATTTGAAGAGTATTCGATGTTCAAGGATATGCCTGCACTTTAGAGTTCTTTGTGAATTTAATAAAAACCATCTTTGAGTCCTGCTCACAGACACGAATGATTGCTTACCTTTCTGCCTCCCTCCAGATACCAGTATTTCACGTGGCGATTGCCCACGGTGACAAAGTAGCTGCCATCCTCGGAAAAGCAGACGGCAGCCACCTTGGAGCTGATTTTATTCGAGGCCATCTTGAGGTTGGCCCGCCAGTCGAACACATTGACAATCATGTCGTGCTGGGAGCCCACCGAAACCAGGTACTTGCCAGTGGGCGAAAAGGCCTGCGGATTGAGGAGGGCGTTATTACCTCGATTTAATTAAATAAATGTGATAAAGACGCGGACTCACCACACAGGTGACGGCGTATTTGTGGTCCACAAACTCAGCAACAACACTGCCGCCGCTGCAGTGCTCCAGACTTCCGTTCGGAGTCTCCAGCTCCCAGACCTTGATGGCCGGATTGATGCCGCATTCCCCGGTGGCCACGTAGCGACCACACCGGGAGAACGCCACGGAAGTGAATGCTTTGCGGGAGGTGTTGACCAGGTAGGCCTGTGTCTGGCGCTTCGCGTTGAAGAGCACCACGGTGCAGCTGCAAGACGGAGATATTCAATTTATAGTATATATATACATGCTTCTTGAATGACGCAGTCGCTTGAATGGTGCCGCAACAAAAACCACACAAATATAACGATTAAAGTCGTAAGCAAAATAAAGGATTATGATTAATTATTAGAATCGCTATGGCTGGCCAACTTTTTTTCTGGGAGTACTTCGTTCAATTGCTGATTAAATGCCAAATGAATTAGAATGCTGGAAATGATATTGCATTTCCAAAGACATTAAACGTGTGTATAATTCACGATGACTGCGTTATTTAAAACCAAACTAACAGCAGTTTGTAATTAATATTACATTTTGATTAGACAACAGGGGAAAATGAATAATCGGAATACCTTGTAGGCAGGCTTGATTTCAGAATATTTATAATAACGAAGTTAGCTACCATGTTACGCCCTTCACCCAATGGTATCATCTGCTGGCCCCGATCACTTAAAGACGCCCTTGACCAGGCCAGACGGCCAAGTTGGCTACACATTTAAAATGCCCAAGGATGCAGGCTCTGCTCTGCTTGGTCCTTTCCTGCTTCCACCCCATCACCTCCAACCGCTTAACCCTCTAATGCCAGAAGCTAACTGCCTGCCCGCCTGGCCCATCATTAAGCTCTTTGGCCTCCTTGGTTTATTTTCCGTTGTTGCTACTGTTGCTCGGTTAATGAGCGCATCACGCCCACATCTTTCACTTAGGGCTATACCCTTACAGATGGGATATGCTCAGCTAGGATATATGTATGTTTCGCTTGCTTTGGTAACTATAAGCTTTATAAGAAATACATCCATACACAAATAGTAAATACATAAATGAGTATTTAAACGAATGGCTATTTCATTTATTTATCACATGTAATTAAAAAGAATTTGAGTGCATTTAAATTTCGCGTGAGCCTGCAAGAGAATTTCCCGCAGAATTTTCTATTTATTCGTGCTTGCAAATGGCACAATGCATACATGTGTGCCAAGAAAAAACTTTTGCATGGCAATGGAAGCGTAAATATGCCCTTTTAGTTAATGCACATAATTAGTAGACTTCCTCGGCTTAATTTACTATAATTGAAATGTTCCTAGGACAACGAAACGGCCGTTAAAAAGGTTCGGTATTAAGGGGATCACGAGGAATAAATTGACTTTCTACCAATTAATTTGCGTGGATTTTCTTTAAACTAAATAACAAACGTCGTGGCACTTAATTTCCTGCCGCATTCCATTATCACAAAGCTTTCGCTTGGCCAATCTGCCATTGGTGATTACAATTATTCAGTTTATTACGTATACGCCGCGTTAAAATTGATTGTGAGCTAGGCAAACATTCAGTGGCATATGCAAATCCTCTGCGGGAAAACAGCAATCTCGTTGACATTATGTCACTTCTGCCCCTCCTGTTTGCCCCTTCCAACCGGACTGTCACAGGTTTTCCTCGTTGAGATGGGAAAAATGCAGCCATGTGCGACAGTTGAGCAGAGATAAAATCAACCATTTTCATTGCACTTTTTTTCCTTTTTTTTTTGGGGCACGGGGATGCAAACTTAAAGCACAAAATTTAACGAAATTGCATTTTTCTGACGCAAATAGGAAATGAGTGGGCGGTTCTGATGGTTTCGTTTTCGAATCCGCAGGATATGTCACGTCCTTGAGGTACGAGTATATGAAACTTACCCAGCTGGATAGGCCAGCAGGCCGCTGACTGGGGACACATCCAGAGCCGCATTGCTGCACACAGTCAGGCCCAGGACCTTTTTGAGTTTTATCTGCAAAAGGGAAAAGAACAGCACAACATTAGACATTACATTACATCACTCTACGCCCCAGCTTATTTGCCTAGTTTTTGTACTCTTTCTGCTTTCGGCAAGGTCGGTAGTAATATTTGCTAAAATAAAAGCCAAACGCAGACAAGTTGTTGTGTGAATTGTTAACGCACACAATTCGCACATTTATCAAGTTGTTGCCGTTTGTTTACATATGAACCCAGCCTTATACGATTTACATAAATATAAGCAAACGAAATTGCCTCAGCATGTTAACATGATTTTCCAATGTTTTTGTAGCTTTTATCAATAGTTTAGTAACAAGTTTTCGGAACTGGTGTATATTTCCCCACAAGGGGCGAAAGCTGGTTTCATTTTTCTTTAATAATACATAAACAACTGTGTTTTGACGAACTTTTCAGAAAAAAATTGTGATTGTGTAACCCAAAATGATATACGAAAATTGATATTTATTTGTAGTATCTGCATTTGAATACCACTAGTCACAAGTGAAGAAAAGCGGCGTAGCTTATTAAAAACACACTTGTTACCCAAGAACCCTAATGATTTCATTCATTAAAAACGTACAAATATGGCTCTTTGTGTTGCCATTCGGCTTTTGTATTCAAAAGCCGCCTTGTTACGCCTCACCAGAGTTTCACCTTGATCTTGCCCAAGCTACCAGCGAATATCTTATTAAAAAAGCCATAAAAACAAGTAAAACAATTAGGGGCGTATGGCTTAGAACAGAACAGGTTGATTTTTTTCAGTAATGGCAATAGGTAGCATAGTGAAAAGGAAGTGCAAGTCGACAAAGTGCGCAGACACACTACCGCATTCGAATCGAATATTGAAAATACTAGATACAAAAGGCAAACAGACGTAAATCAGAACGCAACAGTGGGCGATCCGTAAGACGGCTCTGTCAACTTTGGCATGCAGAGAGCATCCAAAAGATGCTTGATTGTATTTCTGCGTCGCAAATGCGAAACGCAAACTCGGATTCCGACTTTGAATCTGATTGCGGTTCAAAGTAAGCGAATACATTCCGACTGAGATCATCTCGAACTGGCGGAGAAACAAAACAAAGTAGCTCCAGCGTTTGTTTACTACGAGAATTACTTTATTGGCTTGTTTCAGTTAAGCGCGAATATCAAGCCACACCAACGCAGCTCTAAAATCTATATTTTAATGCATAAGGTCGATCTAGGAAACCGGTTTTCGAGTATCTCACTCGCACCTCTCCCGCATATTTGCATTTTTAATGACACCGTGATATGCCGTGAAATTGTACACAGATTTTCTGGGCATGACTAAAATGAAGCCACAATGAAAATATGCTAACCATGACTGTAAATTATAATCAAAGCTTCCCCCGAAATCATGACCAACTGGCATCGATTTCGTTTGAGTGAAAAATTTAGAGACATCGGGGAGTCCAGCAATTACGGGGCGTATGCGCAACGAAATCCGTGAGCTGGCTTTAATTTGTTTTCAAATGATAATTAGGCAGAGCAGCCGGAGGGGAAACAATTAATGGGATTTTTCTAATTTCAGTAGATTCATTTGGTTGGCTTAAAAGATTTAAACAGGAATTTTTGATACCACACTCCTGTTACGTATTTTAAATCATATTTATTCTACCACAACTAGGCACTTTAAATTCCATTTATTTTACACATTTACTTCTTTTTGTCCCAACGGAAGTCAACACACGCCATTCATCAAAGCTTAATTTGGGAGCTGCCAAATACAACAGAGCCACAAAAAACTAAGCCAAACAAAGCGAAATTCTTTTGTTACATATTTGGTGTAGTAGCGAAATTAACGAGCGGCCGAAAGGAACCTAAATTTCCATTTTGTGTGACAGATGGGGCAGTTAAATGATAATTAATTATGACTTAACGAGTGACGAGATACTGGCCCTGACCAGCCGTTAAAATTGGCCAGGAGGCCGGAGGCAAATCACTTTTCGGTCAAGTGGCTTTTGGCCCAATGCCCGCGGTTTGGTAATGAAGTGCCTGCTTTTGCTGGGCCTGCTGCTCATTGTTTTGGGCAAGTTCAATGCACGCAGCTGTTGGCTGCAATTGCTGGCCAAATTCTATGCTCCATAACCAACCCACATAGCTTGAATGTCTGAAGCATTTCGGATTTCTGCCCACAATCCGAGCGAAAAAGGCCACAAATAAGCTGAGCATTTGCAGCGGACAGGTGTCAACCAAGAATCACGCAATGAAAATGTTTACCTTAAGGCCACGAAAGCAAAGAGCTGAAAAATATGCAAATTGAAAGCCTTCTCCGGTGAGAACCAAAATTGACTGGGCATTATTTTGAGGCTACACGATATGCGTATCCACTCCTGCATTACTTTATTAATATTTATATACTAATTAAACATGTTCATAAATTATTATATTTAAGTCCATCAAGTCTCTTTTGGAAAACATGGCATGCCACAGATTATTAGTTTGGTTACAGTCCAGCAGCCAAAACACAAGTGGCGCCTAATACAAATACTTAATACAGGCTTAATTGGCCACGGGCTTAATCAATAAACGAATAAATATCCAAACAGGAAAAGATTTTCAGGCAGAATTTCTTGCATAATTTAGGCTTGACTTATTGAAAGGCTGATAAGTCACTTTTTGGAGTGGGTATTATGAATTGATTATTAATTCCCGGCATAAATAAATGCTAAATCTGTTCTGCACATTTTTGTTCTCGGCGGCTCATAGAATTTCTGGTTAGTGTGTGTTTCTGTTGGTTGTTTTTCTTTGCCCTACCACGTTTCATGCATTGCCAATTGGCTTTCATCGGCTTACTGGACAACCGAACATGTCCCCCATAACAAAGCTAAGAAAATCAAGATAGAATGCTATAGTCGAGTTCCTCGACTATCAGATACCCGTTATTCAGCTAGTGGAAGTGCAAACGAGAAATTTCAACATATTCTGGAATATCGGTAGAAATTGTGTAAAAATAATAAAATTAAAAAAAACTTTTAAACTTTTTAAAAGTGCGGGCGTGCCAAAAATTTTTTTTGCAAATCCGATTAAGATAAGTTGAGTTACGGAGTATAGAACTTCAGCCTTGGGACATTTTTTTGAACTTCTACACATGATACATAAATAAAAAAAAAAAAAATTTTTTTTTTTTATGAATTTCTAAATTTGAATGCAGATTTTTAGAGAATTTCTTTAGAAACATTTAGAGATATGCCACTTCAAATTCCGATTAAGATGAGTTGAGTTATGGAGTATGGAACTTCAGCTTTTGGTCATTTCTTAATTTTATTGAATTTCTACATCAAAGTACCAAAAAAATTACAAAAAAAATGTAAAAAAAAATAATTTTCTAAATTTGAATGCAGTTTTTTAGAGAAGTGCGCTAGAAACATTTAGAGGTATGCCACTTCAAAATCTGATTAGGATAAGTTGAGTTATGGAGTTTAGAACTTCAGCCTTTCTTAATTTTCATGAATTTCTACATCATCACATCAAAAAATTTACAAAATTCATACAATTTACAAAGCTTATATGGAGAGACGGACAGACGGCCCGTCATGACCAGATCGACTCGGCTATTTATCCTGAGCAAGAATATATATACTTTATATGGTCTGAAACGCTTCCTTCTGCCTGTTACATACTTTTCAACGAATCTAGTATACCCTTTTACTCTACGAGTAAAACAAAGTAAAACAAGTCAAACAAGTAAACAGAACAAAATATATTTCTTTATTTTATACTCAAACGATTGGTAAATTTCGAATGCTTGTATCCCACATTTTCGACCTAAGCTAATATTTTTTTAAGGTGTAGACAAATGACTGCACAGTATACATTTATATACAATTGTACCCACAAGGCGCTTACGTGAGCAAACTGCTTATGACTATGAAAACAAGCCAAAATCCAAGTCGCGCCAAGAGATTTTCGATGGAACAAAATCGAAATGAGCTGGATTTTTGAAATACAACTGGTATTTTCTATTGAGATTCCTCCTTTGAGTTTCAGAATCCGCCGCCAACAGCTAATTGCCTATAATTATCAATTACCCTGGGGCAGAAAACGCGGCAGCTCGGGCTCAAATAGAATACTTTTGCCGGGCAAAAACCACAAAAATCCATTACAAGTGCGGAGACAAAACTTTTGTAGCGAAATGAATCATGCGGTGGATAGTCTACCCGCGAGTGGGTAGAAATCTCAGTCATGGATATGAGTGAGTGTCTAGGCCATGTAGAAAACGGATGTTGCTCTGGCCAATATGCAAAGGGGAAAAGGCCGTTTGCTTTCTTTGCCAGTCGCATGAAAGTTGAAGTGGAACCGATACCGAAGGCGAATCCGTTCCGGCCATAAAATAATCTGGACGACCTTTACCTCGTAGGCTGCCACATCCTCCTTGCCGTAAATGGCAACTGGCGATGAGTTTCGGGGGGCGAACATGGCGCAATCTCTTCGGAGGTCCTTGAGGTCCCCGATATGCAAAAACACATTCCTCGGTGCGGGGATCACTTAGTCAGTTAATTGCGAGTCGGGACGGGACTCTTCGTTATCTATACTTTTATGGCACATTTGAGACAGACGCCCACCAAAAATAAAAATGAGCTTAAGGCTATAAATTCGTAATTGTTTTTTCGTTCAGTTCAACTCTTTTTGGGGGCGTTGTGGATTCGTTTTTCGTACAATTAATAATACACTTCAAAATAATACTTTTTACAGTTTTTTTCGTTGCTTTTCGGCTATTTTTTGATGACTAGTCTTTATAGCATGGGTTTTGCTTCTCTTCTTTTTGCGACTTTGTCAAGGTCGAGTTGTGTGTTCTCTTTGTATCCGTTCGGTTCGTTGTATCTTTCGGTTTCAGTGCTGCGGTTTATCTCTTGCTTAGCCACCAAAACTGAACTATAATTATTTTGTATTTTTCTAAAACTTTTTCACTGCGTTTCTTCAACTTTAGTTGAGGGTTTCATAAAATATTCGTTGCACGTTTATCGCTGACTTGCTTGCTAATTTCTTTTTACAAACAATCAAAGCGTCGCCCTATAATTATTCAAAAAATTGCTGCTCGTTTGTAGTTGTTTTTAACTATTTTTTTCTGCTTGTTGTTGCATTAAATTATCGTTAATTTTTCTGTCAGCCGTTGTCGCGTATCGTTTTTTAGCGCGGCTCAAATGAAACTGGCGAGATTTCAGCGATTTCAGCCACGATTTTGCCGATATCGAGTTGAGCACACCGGAGAGCTTGAGATATGGCAAGAGCTATATGCTATAAGCTATATGGAGAAAAATTGAAGAGAGAAAAACGCTCGTTTGAGACCTGTCCGATTGAGTTTTTGAGCGGCACGCACACGTATCTGCCAGATACTTAGATACTCAGTCTTCGAGCACGAAAATTTGCATATTTCACGATGGAAACACGTTTCTGGCCCCAAGTCCAAAATAGCAATCGCTGTTCTAACACGCGAAATAAGCAAACTACTTTAGATCGACTGCAACTTTGGGTGCGGGAGGGCCGAGAAATGGCGCGGATGTAAACTTAAAACACTCTAAAACAATTAATCAATGGCCGCTAGTTTTGGCACCCACGATTGCTTTAATTATTTAATAATCTGCATACACACTGGGAAAAGTTATGGCATCTAAAGTCTGTCTGCACTGCCCACCGAATGCAATAAATTCTCGGAGTTACGGAATCGGTGGGCGTACACGTTCCCTCCAAAAGCCGTAAAACGAAATTAGGCAAATCAACAGTGGCTAAAAATTACAATGAGTGTATGGGGTCAGCCAAGTGGAACACTGTTACCACTGCCATGCAGATAGTCAGATACGGATACAGATGGCTACAGATACAGATACATTTACATTAGGGGACGGATTGTTTGTTTGGCTGGCTTTGGTCAAGATTCAGTCTCTGCGCCAATTGCTAAATAAAGCCATAGAATTGTGCATTGGCTATTTGCAGAAAATATGGTAATTGCCGTTTATGACTTATGGACTTAATTGGAGGCATTTAAATGATGTTGGGGCTTCAAAGACTTCTAGATAACCTCTAGTATTCGGTTCCCTTCATAAATGCCCCATTGTAATTCCCACACATGCATCACCACACTGCTGTCGACACAAATAAACCACACTCTTTGGAAATTTTGATTCAAGTGCAATCATAAGCTTTGGCATTGCACAAAGGCCAATCAAATAGGTAGCTACCTTTCCATAAACAACTCAGCAAAACACACACAAGCCACACACAAGAGACGACAGAAAAGAAAATCAATTTGCATAACACAAATCAAGTGAAATAATCAGGCATCAGTGGAGAGAAAAGAGCCAGAGGCTGAGGCAGAGGCAGAAAAACCAAACCGATGGCCAAACAAAATCCGAGCTCGCAACGCACTGCACCACCGACAGATTGACAAACAAACAAAGCGGCACACTGGAAAAAAATGCACAGTTGACAGACACCTTTGGATTGTCGACCCCTCCCCATCCCCATCACCAGCACTATCTCCATATACATATACATTCCCCTGGATCCAAAATTGTGCAGCCAATTTCTTTATCTTGTGCCATGGCAAAGTCGCAGTTCGGCGCTAGTTTATGGGGGAAAGTTACAAGCGATTGCTCTGACAGATGCTAGGCAGATAGGAATAGTTGGGGATATGGGGGGTTTGGGGTTGTGGGGGGTTCCCGGGGGATGGGGGCCTTGGTATCTGGTATCTGGGTAGCTGTGGGTCCGCCTGCATGCGCCGCATATTCAAATGAATGCAGACTGCTCATTGTTGCTGCTGTTGCTGTTTGGTAGCCGTTTATTGCAGCACAGGAAAAAATACGACATTCGAATGGATACGAATCCATACTTTATATACCTAAAGAATATTTAAATGATCATTAGTTCCGCCACAATCTTACATCAAGGAAACTTGACTTTGATGGCTCGAAAAGATCCGAGGACCAGAGGTGCGACTTTTCTGCCAGTGTAAGTGCTGGTGCTGGTGCTGCCTGTTGTGCCACTTGGCTGCCTTTTTCCTTTGATTTGCGCCGTGAAAAATCGCTGGACTGCACTGGAATCACAAACTATCCATCCACAGTCTGTTTGCGGAGAGCTATTTATCGCCTTTGCAATCCCACCTTCTGCAATTTGTAATTAAAATGCCTTTTTGCCTCATTGTCGTTTGCCGGATTGTACAATTTTCAAATGTTTTTTTTGTAATGCAAATCACCAATCGAATTACTTTTGTTCGGACCTGACCAATGCTGGAAATGAGCCTTTGTTCGCTTCGATTTGTGTGGGCAACTATAATCAATAATTATTATGATTTATTTGCATTGTTCTGGGCGTCGCAGATTAGATCTCCGGTCTTTGTGGGCTAAGAACATGGCAGTCAGCCAAGTGGGGAGTCGCTCCGGAGGGTTGAAAGTGAGTTAGGATAGAGATAGTTCAGAGTAATTACGTAATTGGTGCGATGGTTAAGATTGAAGTCACTGCGAATGGTGTAAATATGTGATTTCTCATTCAGAAGTGTCTTGCACTATCTGTCCACCGATCACTGATCGATTGAAAGGCACTCAACATTTCAATCGCAGCTGTCGATCCGCTCAATCAGCGCTCCAAAAAACCCACTCAATCGATTCTGTGCGGTGTGGCGCATGCGCAGCTTGTCCATCTGTCAGTATCTCGGCAGCTCGAATTAAAAAAGCTCGCGATGAGGTAAGCTGCGAAATCTGAGCAAATCTCGGCTATCTGCGCCAATCATTTGCAGCCCCATTGAAGCGTTGCCGACAATTTTGATTAATTGCATTGATTTGCAGCTAGCTGCAATCCAAAGTGTTACAACTACAGGTTTGCCATCAATCGCTGCACCACAATTAATTCGAAATCAATAAACCCATAAAGCTCATTCATACGTGGGGAAATGGAAAAATAAAATATGAAACATAATTCAATAACAAAGCGTGGCAATTTACTCGGCGTACCACTTGAACTACGTGACAAGCGTGATGGCTCTCGGCGTTTAGTTTGGAAAAGTCTGGGAAAATCTGGCCATAAATTTGGCAAGGCGGGAAAGCGGCCAAAACGAAAACCAGCGCATGGAAAGCAGGAAGAAAATATTTAAGGGGCCAGCTTACTCTCGGGTGTCAAAGTTGATGAAAGATGCTGCCAGCTCCACGGGCTCTCAGCTTTGACTACAACTTTAAAGGAGGAGTTTCCATCTCGAGACTGCATCTTCGGCGGCCTTAGTCGATTTGAAAGTTTAATCAAGCATTAGTGTTAGTTAAGAGGCTTTTTCGGTGATTTTATTGTCTTCTTTGGCCAAGAGTTGTTGGTGGCACGTAGTGCACTTCGTAATGGCCGCGCAATTTGTCTAATGATTGCTATTTGAGCAAGTAATTTGTGAGTGCAGATCAGAGAGAGAGGCTTGTATACGGATGGAGTTGAAAGTCTTTTTATTCCGGTCGATTATAAGTGTTAATTATATGGCTTAAAACGCTTTCGGTGTAAGCTTTCTTTAATTGACACACCACTCTGTGACTCGAATGGCTAAGTGAACGCTGCTGACGCAAATTGAAGACGATGGAATGGTAATGTGTGGGCTTTAGTGGGTAACTACTGTGGGAAGTTGGGAGAGAAGACCTCAAACGCAGAGGTTCTTGCCAGTAGGGAAGAAGCACTATCTACTTAGATTTTCTTTAGTTAAAGAAACATTTTGGTTTAATAATCAGCATTATTTTGGTTCATGATAGTAATAAGATAGCTCCCTGTAAAATTTGTCTCGTTTTGACTACATTCAACTTTCCTAATCATCGAAAATGCATAATTTCCAACCAAGCCCATGTTGCTCAAATTGCTTTCAAAGTATCAATCTCCATCACATCTTAACCCTCATTATCTCACTTCATTTGTAGTCGTTCCAGTGCCTTTTGCATATCAATTTCCCCGCCAAAGACTTAACCCATTACAAACTGATGGCCACATTCAAGATATTGATTACATAATGCCCGAGCAGCAACCGAAAAAAAAATATGAAAAATATCAATTTCGTGCGGTCACAAAATGCATTTAAGTTTTAATTATATAGAGAGTGAAGCATTTTTAAATTCCACTTTGTTCGTGCTGTGCTTCATTTTTATGTACTGCTAAATGCTGCAGAGGAGTTGTGGTCGCTGTTGTGAAAACCACTCGAAAAAAATGCGTTTCAAATTGAAACGACTGGATACGCCCACAGGCAGACCAGATACAGATACATGCGATTCCATATGTTGTATAAAAGTCTCGGGAGCTGCAGCAGTTGCAACGCACTTAACCAAATTGCTACAATTTGACAAACACAAATAAAAAATAAAAAACAAGAAAAAAAGGAAAAACAGAGTACACCCAGGCCAAAAGTGTTGGCTCTAATAACAAGTGTCAGTCTGTCAGCTGCCAGCCCCCAAAATCTGCCCACAGTTCGACTTTTCTGTTTTTTGTATTGAAATGCAGTTTCTGCATAATTTTGCTGTAGTGATAAATTTTAAGTACTTAATTTTGTGGTATTAAAATGGTTTTATGACATTACTTATAATTTGATTAAAAGTCGGCAAAAACATTGAGGAGATCGGTGTATCATTTCCGGCATTTCATAAATTTAAAAATCAGATAGATGCCAAACTCTGCCCACAATCAATTTTTGCGCCATTTGTTAGCCATTTTTTGCTTGACCAAAACAAAAATATGCAAATCGCTTTTAACAACTCCAGACATTAATACGCCTCAACTAGTGCAGTTGCTTCTTTGAATATGGTACCAAAAGCCATAAAATATATGTTACCTAGTATATTAATTAATAACACAAGGCGGCAGTCTAAATTGTAGTGCAACAAGTATAACTAATAAATTATGGGCAAGTGTAATTTGGCGGTTTTTTTGTGTGTCGCGATTTCTTGCGTGCCTTTTGAGTTTGTGTGTCTCATTTCCTGAGCTCATTAAACAAATGTATAATTCACACCCAGACAGACCTAATGAAAACCTGTCTTAGTGTGCTAAATATAATTATTAACTTGCATAAAATTGGTGAACTATGAATATAAATCAAACTTGCGCAGGAAGTCATTATAGATAATATGCATTACATCAACTTGAGTGGAGATAAAAAAGTTAAGTTTTTTTAAACAAACAAGGACAGAAAACAGCTACTTGGAAATAATGTGTATTTGTTAGACTATTAAGATAAACAAGCTATT